CGAGAGCTTCAGGTCTTTTTACAAGATATTCCAGGAAACAGGAGCGGAGTAGGAGAAGTTCCTTTTGTCTAGTTCAGTCCTCACTGAGGGAACACTGCAGGTAATGATGTCCTGAGAGCGCACGCTGTAGCTGCACTCACACAGAGACATGTAGGAGGAGATGTATGAAGGCAGCAGACCAGGAAGTGATTTAAAGATGAAAATGTACCAGTGAGAGAGTCTGTGTGAAGTTAATGATGTCCAGTGATCAGTGATCATATGGGGAGCAATATTATAGGCAGAAACATGGGTGTGCTATGGGGTCTCCAGTTTCTCCTATTGTTGCCAACCTGTACATGGAGGAGGTAGAAAAGAGAGCCTTGACGTCCTTTTCAGGGACACCACCAAGTCATTGGTTCAGGTATGTTGACGACACCTGGGTTAAAATCAAATCTCGGGAAGTCCAACATTTTACTGACCACATCAACTCTGTGGATAAATACATCAAGTTCACACTAGAAGATGAAAAAAATGGCAAGTTGGCTTTCTTGGACTGTGAGGTCTCAGTCTCTGATAGAGGACATTTGCAAACCGAGGTGTACCGCAAACCCACCCACACAGACCAGTATTTGCAGTTTGACTCCCATCACCCTTTGGAGCACAAGTTAGGAGTCATCAGGACTCTGTACCACAGAGCAGACAGCGTCCCCACTAGCTCAGGAGCCAGGCAGAAGGAGAAATCCCACACAAGACAGGCTCTAGAGCAATGTGGATATCCTAACTGGGCCTTCCTGAAAGCAGAGAAGAAACCCAAACAGGACTCCAGTCAGCCATCAGGTGAAAAGGAGGAACCCAGACCCAGACCAGTGGTCATTCCATATGTTGAGGGAGTATCAGAGAAACTGAGACGTTTATTTTCTAAACATAACGTCCCAGTGGCTTTTAAACCCCAAAATACATTACGGCAAAGACTGGTTCATCCCAAAGATCCAGTCCCCCGGCACAAACAGAGTAATGTTGTGTATGCTGTTCAGTGTCAGGAGGGTGATCAGTCTTACATCGGGGAAACAAAACAGCCACTGGCCAAAAGGATGGCCCAGCACAGAAGATCAACATCATCAGGCCAGGACTCTGCGGTCTACACTCATCTCCAGGCCAGCGGTCACTCTTTCAGGGATGAAGATGTTCACATCCTGGACAGAGAGGAACGATGGTTTGAGAGAGGAGTAAAGGAGGCCATCTTTGTGAAAAGAAACCGTCCATCATTAAACAGGGGCGGAGCCTCCAGGTTCAACTGTCCCCCTCTTACAATGCTGTGATTGCTAGTATCACTCAGCCCTCTGTGAATAGTAAACAGCCATCAGTGTGCTAATGATCCATTGTTAGGCTGATGGTCCTTCTTGAGCATGTGATCAGCTGGTTTTGGTTGTCAGCAGCAAAACTGGTTGATCCACTCTGAGAAGGTGCTGTTTAAGAGACTGAGCAGAATACAGCACCTCAGACTGAGGAAGTCCTCAGGATGAGAGACGAAACGTTTCTACATTTTTTTGTTGATTTGCTTTGTTTTGTTTTTTTGAATGTCCAGAGGACCAGATTTAATTTTTTTAGATTTTTCTACCTGGATTATTGAGCATGCATCAGGATATCAGTGATGACAATGTCTCACCAGCATCACAGACAAGAAAAGAGTTATGAAGTCATAATCAGCAGCAGCTGTCAATCAATTTGTACACCCCGCCCGAGTTTTTGCCTCAGCGATCACCCGAGCCGCATGTCGCGTGGACTGCTGGTACCCATCAGCTGCTTCTGGGGTCCCACAGACCAAAAAGGCCCGATAGGACTCTTTCTTCAGCCTGACAGCATCCCTCACTGCTGGTATCCACCACCGGGTTCAAGGGTACCGCTGCGACAGGCACAACAACCTTGTGGCCACAGCTCGGATAAGCCGCCTCGACAATAGAGGCGTGGAACATGGCCCACTCAGACTCAATGTCCCCCACCTCCCCCGGAACGTGTTTGAAGCTCTCCCGGAGGTGGCAGTTAAAGCTCTGTCTCACGGGAGACTCTGCCAGATGTTTCAAGCAGACCCTCACAATACGTTTGGGCCTGCCAGGTCTGACCGGCATCCTCCCCCACCATCGGAGCCAACTCACCACCAGGTAGTGATCAGTGAACAGCTCCGCCGCTCTCTTCACCCGAGTGTCCAAGACATGCACCCGCAGATCAGATGAGACGACAACAAAGTTGATCATCGAACTGCGGCCTAGGGTGTCCTGGTGCCAAAAGCACATGGACACCCTTATGCTTAAACATGGTGTTCAATATAGACAATCCACGTCTCTTTGTAACTGGATTTTTATTCGTTTTGCTCCTACATGCTGAAAAAGGGTGAGCAGCACAAAAACACTCTGCTCTCTGCCATTTATTATAACTGTTGTTGGAGCAGAAAAACGTTGGACTGCAGTCGCCTGGAGTGTGCATGTGTCACTTCACACTTGGAGCATTTTATTCATTGGGGGGGGGGGGGGTCCAAAAATCTCCACTCTGAGACCTGGTTTGAGAGAATGAGGGCTGTGACTGGCTGCCCTGTATGTCAATCAAGTGACAGATTTCATAGTTAGGATGGATGATAGTCTGACGTCTATTTATTTAATGCCATGCAATCTACCCATAATGCCTTCGTGATCGACCGGTAGATCGTGATCGACATATTGGGCATAGAGCTGTAATTTCTAACCCGAATCCGAAACCCGGTCCGACCCGGTTATAATGTGATTAATGTGAGGGCCGGGCTGGTTTCGGGCTTTGATGTGGTTTTACGAATCATAGAGCACAAATAAAACTAAATAAGAATGCACAACATAAAATTGTGTTTATCTACTTAGAGGAGGAGGCAGTAAGCTTACTGAGGAGGAATGGAAATAAATAAAATAAAGTGCAGAAGTTAATCAGAAAAGAGAGTAGTGTTGGCGGCACATTGCACAACAATTACGCATGGCCCTGCCCGCCCTGCTTTTGCTCCTCTTATGACACATCTGAGGATTAATTCAATTAAATTCAAATTCAATTAAATTATACTTTATTAATCCCAAAGGGAAATTAAATGTTGTGTAACTAATTATTATCCTCATTTCATTAGGAGATGTTATTGATACTGATGACTGTAGATAGGAAAGATCTCGTGTAAAGGTCTATCCCAGAGTGGATCTGAAGAAAATTATAGATGCCGTCCGATCTATCCATCCAGATTAGGCTGGCCTCTCGGTTCCTTCGGGTTGCAGGATCACCCGAATCCCAGGAAGAACTCCTCCTTGAGCAATGGTCACTTCTCCCAGCAGCCTAGCTCCTCATCACTGTGGACAGCCAGCTACAGGTGTCAGGGAATGATCCCAGTCCTTGATGTCATGAGTAGGGCTGCAACAACGAATCGATAAAAATCGATGATTAAAAGCGTTGGCAACAAATTTCGTTATCGATTCGTTGTGTCGCGCGATTATGCGTCTTTCACGGCGCTGCGGAGCCGTTTGGTTTTGTTCACCTGCAGTTCATTGTCAATGCTGACTGAATGAATAAAGTTTGAAAAAAAAAAAACTGCAGCGCGAGTTGAACAGAGCGAGGGGGAAACAAAGCAGAGGCTGTTTTCAAAGAAAAATAGGTAAATTTTACAAATGACCGACGCAGTGAAAACTGTTTGACCCAAGTCCTCCAAAGAGTGGGAGAACTTCACAAAGATAAAAACGAGAAGCATGCAGCTTTGAAAATCTTCGACACGAGAGAACCACGGAGATAAAACGTAAACATGTGGGAGTCACGAGGAGGAGGAAGGAGCTGCAGCTGATACAACTCTTCATGTGTTGCAGGTGAGTCTCTACAATTTAACACATTGTTCTGTTTCAAGAGAGAAAATGTAACGTCAGTCTGTCTGGTAGATGAAGCTGTTTGTTTGTTTGTTTGTTTGTTTGTTTGTTTGATTAATGACGGTGATACAGAACGTGTGTGTTACCTTTTATTTAATTTAATTGGTACAAGCAGTGTTTAAATGTGATTTATAAATAAATCCAACACAAAGATAATAATTTAATGATTAAGCTTCAACTTTTAATTTGTTGGCAAAGTCTGAAGACACTGCAGGTATGGCAGGATGAATTGCATTT